GGCAGGAGGTGGGGATACCAGACTGTATGGACCAGTGGTTTGATCTGGAATGGAAATGTCCCCGGAAATTCTGTAATATTTTTCCATCTGCTCCCTTCCCCCTTGGACATCCTGCCCAGATTCTCCCTCCCTCCCCTCTGATAATCTCAACGCAGCAACTACCAGCTCATCCAGGGGGCTCCATCCCCTGTTAGGATCCCACCCTCGAATTCCCGCTGCTCATGCTAATGGAGGAGCCCGGCTGGGAGATCAAAGGTGGCCACTGATATGGAAGGTGCGACTTGAAGTGACTTGTCCGTGGTCACCCAGCAAATCAGTAGCTGGTCCAGAAATAGGACCCAGGAAGCCTGTCTCCCTCCCCCCTCCTCTAACCCCTAAACTCTCTTCTCCCAGTGGGTTTGTAAGCCAAGTTGCCACGTTGCCTGCTCAAGCTAGCTCCCACATCTGGGCAGGAAAGCAGGTGCCGTAATGAATTGAGATGCTAATGCCGCGTGCACCTCTGAATTCCCCTTCTCTGGGGAGCACCGCCTGGAATCTGCCAGCAGAAATCTGCTGGTAATTAAGGTAATTAAGAGCAGGCTTCCCCGAGAAAACCAACGCTGTGGAAAGGAACGTCCAGACCCAGTGCCGGAATCCGGCCAGGCTGGTGTCTCTGCAATGGATGTGGAACAAGAGTCAGTCTGGGATCTCTTTTCCCCACCACGCTGCCCTAAGCAAACACGTAATTCATCTAGCCCAGGTATACGACCTGCTCCACCCGCTGCCTATCTAACTTGGTATCCTCCACTACCTGCTGCTACATTTGATCAGGCTGATGGTGCATCAGGTCTGCTTTCCTGGCTTCAGAGGATGGTGTTAAAACCTCAGCACCTTGCAGTAGGGTGCGGACGAGTCCTTCCTGACCCCCCGTTCCCATTTGGCAATGAGCTTATGCCCTGAAGCATGAGGATCGCCAGCCCTTGCAGGCTCTCTCCTACTGGAAGCTGTTCTGATCCATGTTTTCTTCCTCCCTTTCCCAGCATCGGGGGCTCAATCCCCATTGTCTTCTCCTACTTCTCGGAGTTCCTAGCTCAGGAGAAGCGGGGTGAGCACCTGAGCTGGCTCTGCATGTTCTGGATGATCGGGGGCATCTACGCATCAGCCATGGCTTGGGCCATCATCCCTCACTACGGTAAGAGAAAATGGGGCTAGCTGGTGCTCCCGTCCCCCTTGTGTTGGGAAAGCCACCGTGGTCTCTCCCCTCTTGCTCCAGCAAAGACTGTGTCAAAGAATGGGTGGGTCAGGGGTTGGTAGTAATGGACTATGGATAGGAGTGGCTGAAAATTTTCCATCCAAACTGTTTTCTGATAAAAAATTGGATTTTTTACTGAATTATTATTTTTTTTGCAAGAAGTGTCTGCTTCCCTCAGAAAATCCTGTAGTGCCTCAAAGTGGAAACATTTTGATTCAGAAATACCACCATGGTGCATCATGGGAGTTGTAGTTTGGGTGCCGCCTGTCCCCCATTTTCCTCTATGGGCTGGACTCCTGGGCCGGACTCCATCTCCCATGATGCACCATGGCTAGGGCTTCTGAAGATGCACCACCTCCCCTTTCCAAGTGGGGGAGAGACTGTGGTGCATCATGGGACATGGAGTCCAGCCAGGCAGCCTGGCCTATAGAGAACGAGGCACCCGAACTACAGCTCCCTTGAGGCACCAGAGTGGCATTTCCGAATTGAAATCTTTAGGTATTCAAAATTTTCCAGGGACGGAACCCCACATTTTTTGGACCAGCTTTAGCTCTGTAGCCCCTACCACTCCAGTTCACACCAGTTGTCACAGTCTAGCTGTCTGCGTGGATTGTGTTTCGCCATCCCAGCCATTCACACCCCCAGGCTGGCAGCCTCAGCAGAGACATCTGGTGGGCCTGAACTCCCCTCTTGCGCCTGCCCTGGGCCAGGCCACACTGGTAGTGTAGGAGCAGAGGGCATGTGTGTAGGGGGACGCTGGCCCCGAAGCTGACTCTGAGACGTGCCCCGGCTGGGATGTGGATGCTAACAACATCCAGGGCTCCTGTGCATCAGACCACGGGCTTTGTTATGTGCACTAGGCTGAACTGATTGCAAGATAAGGAGTTGGGAAAGAAATTCCCTCACCAAGGGGGCATGTTGGGGCGGCAGGCAGTCTGGGATGGCATTTAAACCCTGAGTGCCAGGTTCTGGACTGCTCCAGGGGTGTCAGTCACGCCAGCGAGGCTGCCTGCCGGCCACTGGGAGCCGGGCTCCTGCTTTGCTCCTCCCACACTCTTCCAGTTCCCGACCACACCCACAGGATGGGAGCCGGCTTGGTTGGGGGAATCGGGGTCATGCTGGGGAAGGTGCTGTGCAGAAAGGGGGAAGCTGATGCTTAATGGGGGTAGGCAGGGAAGCCCTAAGGAGGTGGAGGAAGGAGGAAGGGGGCAGGAATGGAGACGAAGACGCAGCTGCTCCTGGCGGGGTGGAAATCTCCCCCCACGCTCCTCCACTTAAGAACCTAAGAACTTAAGAATGGTCACATTGGGCCAGACCAGTGGTCCATCTAGCCCAGTATCCTGTCTCTGACCATGGCCAGGTTTAGGGACACCCTGAGCATGGGGTTGCGTCCCTGACCATCTTGGCTAACAGCCATTGCTGGACTTATCCTCCAGGAACTGATCTCGTTCTTTTTTGAACCCGGTTGTGCTTTTGGCCTTCACAACATCCCCTGGCAACGAGTTCCACAGGCTGACCGTGTGTTGGGTGAAGTCGTACTTCCTTATGTTGGTTTTTAACCTGCTGCCTATTAATTTCATCTGGTGACCCCTAGTTCTTGTGTCAGGTGAAGGGGTAAATAACACTTCCCAAGTCACTTTCTCCCATTCATGATTTTATAGACCTCCCTCATATCCCCCCCCTTAGTTGTCTCTTTTCTAAGATGAACAGACCCAGGCTTTATAATCTCTCCTCGTATGGAAAACATTCTAGCCCCCTAATCATTTTTGTTGCCTTTCTCTGCACCTTTTCCAATTCTAATCTATCTTTTTGAGATGGGGTGACCAGAACTGCCCGCAGTATTCAAGTTGTGGGCGCACCATGGCATTATATAGCGGCACTATGATCCTTTCTGTCTTATTATCTATCCCTTTCCTGATGGTTCCTAATATTCTGTTCGCTTTATTGTCGGCCACCCCACATTGAGTGGAGGTTTTCAGAGAACTATCCACAATGACTCCAAGAGCTCTCTCGTGAGAGAGAGGTGGTGTTGTTTATTACGTCTCATAACACGAGAACTAGGGGTCACCAAATGAAATTAATAGGCAGCAGGTTTAAAACAAATAAAAGGAAGTATTTCTTCACACAACGCACAGTCAACCTGTGGAACTCCTTGCCAGAGGATGTTGTGAAGGCCAAGACCATAACAGGGTTCAAAAAAGAACTAGATAAGTTCATGGAGGATAGGTCCATCAATGGCTACTAGCCAGGATGGGCAGGGATGGTGTCCCTAGCCTCTATTTGCCAGAAGCTGGGAATGGGCGACAGGGGATGGATCACTTGATGATCACCTGTTCTGTTCATTCCCTCTGGGGCACCTGGCACTGGCCACTGTCAGAAGACAGGACACTGGGCTAGATGGACCTTTGGCCTGACCCAGTAGGGCCAGTCTTATGTTCTTATGTGAATGGTAACAGCTAATTTGGACCCCGTTGTTTTGTTTGTATAGTTGGGATTAGTTTTTCCAATGTGCTTTACTTTGCACGTATCCGCACTGAATTTCATCTGCCCTTTTGTTGCTCAGTCACCCCGTTTAAGGAGATCCCTTTGTGACTCTTGGCAGTCAGCTTTGGATGTAACTATCTTGAGTTCTACCACTTCTCACTCCTCCTCCTCCTGTTTTTCGCTCCTCTCCTCTCCTGTTCCCCAGGCTGGAGTTTCCAGATGGGCTCCGCGTACCAGTTCCACAGCTGGAGGGTCTTTGTCCTGGTCTGCGCCTTCCCCTCCGTCTTTGCCATCGGCGCTCTCACCACCATGCCCGAGAGCCCACGCTTCTTCCTGGAGGTAAAGGCCATGTGGCTCGATGCGGGGAGGGAGTCAGAAAGGACTAATCAGTGCGTGTCCGTGTTTGGGGCCCTGGGCTGGGCTGCAGCAGGATCTAAGGCAGAAAGGGGGCACTGGCTGGCTCTGGGGTATGGGGATCGGATCCTGAACTGGCCCCCAGCTCTGCTCCAACCTCCTGCAGTAGAAACTAGAGCTAGGCCAGGAGCAGCGATCAGATGGGACTGACGGGGCTTTGGGGTCATCGCCCCAGGCCTAGCCATGAACCCATCAGCCTCAGCAGTGAACAGGTGCACCAGGACTGAATCCCCCCCCCTTTGCCCCGAAGGGGGGGCGATGCAGAAAGCTGGTGCGTCCGTACGAGCTCTGGGGATGGAGCACCTGTTACCAATGCTAAATCAGCAGCCTGGAGCAGGGATGGTGCTTAGAGCCCACTGGCAGCATGGGGCATCCCATGGCTCTACCGTTTGTTTGGGTGACTCGTGGCCATGCCCCCGTGCACAGGTGGGGATGGGCTGAGAGGGGGGCAGGGAAGGAAGGGCCATTCTGGCTGCAGCGGGGGGGCATGATACCTGGAGAGCGGCGACACCTGGCTCAGGGCCTGGTCTGAGAGGTAGGGCAGTGCTGGCCCGAGGTGCGGGGTGCCTAGGTCAGGGGTTCTCAACCTTTTTCTCTCTGAGGCCCCCGCAATGTGCTATAAAAACTCCACGGCCCACCTGTGTCACAACAACTGTTTTTCTGCATATAAAAACATAGGTGCTGGAACTAGGGGAGCTGGGGGTGCAGCTGCACCCCCTGGCTTGAAGTGGTTTCCATCATATACAGGGTTTACAGTTTGGTTCAATGGCTCTCAGCACCCCCGCTGTCCAAATTGTTCTAGCACCCCTATATAAAAGCCAGGGCCAGCATTGGGGGGTAGCAAGCAGGGCAATTGCCTGGGGCCACATGCCACATGGGACCCCGCAAAGCTAAGTTGCTGGGCCCCGGCTTCAGCCCCAGGTGGGGGGCTCGGGGCGACAGGGCTTCGGCTTTCTGACCTGAGCCGTAGTGAGTCTAATGCCGGCCCTGCTTGGCGCACCCCCTGAAATCTGCTTGGGGCCCCCCCAGGGGGCCTTGGACCCCTGGTTGAGAACAGCTGGCCTAGGTGACCCTAATTCTTAGGGGCATCTCCTGCATGGCTGACCTGCCTTCATGCCAGGAAGCCCCTTGCCTTCATGCCAGTAGCCCAGGTGTCTAGCACTGGGGGCTCTGGAAGAGCTGGCAGTGGGGGGCAGCCTGCCCCACGCTGCCCCCTTGGATTTTCTCTTGCAGAACGGGAAGCACGACGAGGCCTGGATGGTGCTGAAGCAGGTTCATGACACCAACATGCGAGCCAAGGGCCACCCCGAGAGGGTGTTTTCGGTAAGCGCCGCTCGGTCGCTCCCCCCCCGGCTGCTCTGGTCCCCCGGGGCAGAGGAGAGACCTTTAGGCTAGAGGAGAGAGGGGCGAGCCAAGGAAAACGCTTGTCGGTGGTGACGGAGGAGGGTGTCGTGAGTAGGGCACTGGGCTGGGAGTCAGGAGACCTGGGTTTTATTCCCGGCTCTGCTGCTGAGTTTGGACAAATCGCTCCCTCCCTGTGCCTGGGTTCCCCACCTGTAAATAACGACGACGATCCCTAGCTCTTTTCCATCAGCAGAGCAGTATCGTTGCCCCCATTTCACAGCTGGGGAAACTGAGGCACAGAGCGGGGCAGCGACGTGCCCAAAGTCACCCAGCAAGCCGGGAATAGAACGTGAGTCTCCTGAGTCCTGGCCCAGGGCTCTATCCGCTAGGCCATTTCCCTACCTCTTGGGGGGGGGGGGGGTTGGGAGTCTAAAACCCGCTCGTGGGTTGTGAGGGGAATATGGTGCCAGCTGCCTCTATTGGGCCATTGGTGGGATAGGGACCCCCCCGTGCAGGGATTGCTAATGCTATTTTTGTTCGAAGTAATTTCTATCACCCCAGAAAGATAACAGGCCCTGCACCATGGGCCAGCAGCAGGGCTGGAACCTGGCATCTTCCACACCAACGCACAGACCCGGCCTCCAACCCCCTGAGCTAAAGGAGTAACTCCGTTAGCTGGTAGCAGTAATAGGCCATTATCCTCTATATGGGCCAGTTGCTAGAGGGTAACGTGGCACGCCGGGCCAGCATCCGACATCTAGGCCAGGATTGGCTCGAGTGGGGAGAATCTGAGCCCTAGGACGAGGGGTGCTCCCCGCTGCTAGGAGCAAGGGGGGTGCTGGACTGCGGCACCATGGCAGAGGGGGGTGGTGAGAGGGACCTGAGGGAGAATGTGAGAGGGGGAGATTCATTCCCAGCGCGAGGCACAAAGCCGAGCGGGGTGGGGGGGAAGGAGCGGGGCTAGGGAGGAGAAGACCCGAGGGGCTCCGCTTGGATTCGGTGTGATTAGTTTTTCCAGTGAGCCAGTGAAAGGTGGGTGGGGGGCCGTGGGGACTGTCGGGGCAGCAGGGGAGGGGGCAGGGGGTTGAGACGGGGTGTTTGGGGATGGGAGAAGTACTGCGGGGCAGCCCGGTTCCCAACCTGGGAGAGGTCACCTCCCTGCAGGGGTGAGGCCCCGGCTCTCCGGTCTGCGCTGCTGCAGCATCGTGGACAAACCTGCCGCCAGGGGCAGAGATCGGGGTGTAAGCTGGCACTGGTTCCCCTGGCACGGGGCGATGGGTCTTCGGCTGGTCCGCGGCCCCAGGCTGGAGGGGCCGGACCGGCTGACATCTCCGCCCTCTGAGCGTCCTGCTGCCCGTGCTTTATCCCCGCCCCGTGCCGGGGGACGTCCCCGTTCTGCCCCACGTCGCCAGTAACCTCGTCCTCCCTCCCGCCTGGCAGGTCACCCACATCAAAACCATCAAGCAGGAGGACGAGCTGATTGAGATCCAGCTGGACACCGGTACCTGGTACCGGCGCTGGATGGTTCGGATCCTGAACCTCTTGCATCAGGTAGGGCCGGCCCCTGGGGACCTTGTCATAAACCCAGGAGAGCAGGGGCCAATTCCACCCTGGTCTGGGCTACACTGGGGCTGGATTCAGGCCGGAGGATGGCTCCACGCAGCCAGAATCCTCCCCCAGCGTGGCCGAGAGCTGGCAGGACGCCCCCCGTGAGGCACTTGGCCCTGGGGGGGAGCCGGGACCCCCCCCCCCCCCAGATGACCAGCTTTATCAGGACGTGCCAGGCAACCTCATAGCCTGGCAGGGATTGTGGGGCAACTCTTCGGGGGTCAGAGGTCAAAGCTGAGTGACTCCTTGCAAAGCGAAGGGGATTTACCTATCCAGCAACACCGGCCTCTTTTGCCTCTGGCTGGCCTGTCCCTTGGCCGGGTCACTGCGCCCAGCGCGGGGGCAGGGGGCTTCCCCAGCCCCGCTGCTCCTCGGCTCCTCTGCCGAGAATCCGAGAGCCCTGGTCCCACGGTGACCTGGACTGGGTCCCAGTCCCCTCAGGGGATCATTCGGGCTGGATTTGAACCCGCAGCCGAGCGTGGCCACGACCGCAAGGGCGCTCTCCCAGCCCGAAGAGGGGAGGTCGTCCCCGCCCCCGTGCGGCAAGTGTGGGTTTCTGGGCGAGGGGGTTATTTGGGTGGCGCTGCAGCCGGGGCTCCTGTAACACACAGACCAGCATGGCAATGTCCGGGCTCTCCCCCCTGCTCCCTGCCCGCGGCCTTCCCCGGCACCCACCCCGAGCTTGAACAATCCGCTCCAATGGGCTCCAGTCGGGCTGCAGGGAGGGGGATGCGGACGTGCCCAGCTGGGTCTCCAGGGCCGGCCACCTGGCTCGTGCGGTAGGGAGTCCCTTACCAGCCAACCCTGGGCCTTGGGACTTGGTGAGGGGGGTCCAATGGCCACTCAGCGTCCTGTGTGTCCCAGCGCCCCCCCGGGCCCTGCTCTGCTGAAATCAATGGGGATTCCTGGGGGCGTGGGGTCTGCACCCCAGCCCTCGCTGTGCCCATCCCAACCCCCCTGTTGGCCCCTGTTCCTGCACATGCATCAGCTCGCCCTATCTGCTGATGTATTTCTCTCCATCTCTGTCTTCTTCCTCCATCGTGCCCCATCTCCCCGCTCATCCCCCCTGCCTCCATCTTCCCTCTACCTGTCTCTCTTCTTGGGTCTTTCCCCCATGGCCCCCCAGTCCCCAGCTGTCCCTGCTGGGAGCTGGGCGTGTCCCTGGCTGTGCCCGTCCCCCAGCAGAGCTGGCGTGGCGGTGAGTGGTGCCTTCATGCTCCCCGTCTCTCCCTCCTTCAGGTCTGGAGCAACTTCCTGCAGTGCTTTGCCCCCGAGTACCGGCGCGTCACGCTCATGATGATGGCTGTGTGGTTCACCATGTCCTTCAGGTGGGATGGGCGCGGGGACCCCAGGGGGAGGGGCTGGAGAGGTGATTTTGGCCCCGGTGTTGTTTGCTCTATGTGTGACTTGCTGGGTCAGTTTCTTCCTGGCTCTACTCCCAGTGCGGGAGGGGATTGGCCAGGGTCTCCTCTGAGCCACGAATTATCCCGGGCTCAGTGATGCTTCCCTGTTGCACGGCGCGAAGGCCACAACATGCTTTGCAAAAGGTGGAGGAATCCTGTTATGCCCATGCTACAGCCAGGGAAACTGAGGCACGGGGGGGCGGGGAAGTGACTCGCCAAAGGTCAGGCAGGGCGTCAGTGGTAGAGACAAGAGTGCAACCCAGGAGTCCTGACTCCCAGCCCCAACCCTGCTCTAATCTCTAGGCCCCACTCCACACACACAGCTGGGAACAAAACCCTGGAGTCCTGAGTTCCTGGCCCCTGCTCTAACCGCTACATGTACTGTCTCTGTTAGGGAGAGGTGGTCACACCCTGGTGTAGATCTTATGAGGGATGCGAGTATAATCCATGCAGCCTGAAGGAGGGGCACGTAAGATATTGCTGCTGGGAAGGGGAATGGGGCGTGCCCAGGGAGGGATTAATACCTTGTGGTTGACAGGGATTTTCCAGCAGCTGGGTATCGATGTTCCCCTGAGCCACTTTGGTACCTTATCAGACCCCCGCCCCACCCGCTGTAGGGTTGGTGCCCAGGGTCAGAGGCCAGCTCTGCAATCCAGAGGGGGCACGCGCCCTCTGCTCATGCTGCCTGGCTTCGCATGAGGTCCTCCATGCGCTTCCCTTCTCCAGAGCTCCTTCTGCAGCAGCCAGGCGGCGCCGTGCTGTGGTCTGCAACGGGTCATACCCAATGGCTTGGCATCAGCCGCGGCTCTGGTTAGGGCCAGCAGGAGAACAGCTTTGTTTGTGGTGGAACCGAACATGAAACTTTTCTAACTTTTCGGCAAATCGAAAACTTGAAAAAAACCCAACAGAACATTTCAATCTGGGTTGGATCCTGCGTTGAATGGGGGGAGGTGGAGGAGCATGAGCGTTGGGGCGGGGACGGCTGGGCTTGGGGGTTGGGGGGGAGATGGCGGGAACAGCATTCTGTCCTTGCTGGGGTCTGGAGCGTTGACGCGGAGCTGAGACAGGAGCTGTGATAGTCAAGGAGAGGAAGAGGAAGAGGAAGATTCCAGCACCGCTCAGGCTGAGGCAATATTTTCAGGGCCTAAACTCCTCGGGCCGTACATCGGTGCAGGCTCAGTGGAACGAGGCCAATATACCCTGGCTGGGGTCCTGGCCCAGCAACTCCAGTGGAGCTGTGACCAATTTACACCAGCTGGGGCTCTGAGTTCAGATCCTTAAAAGTATTTAGGCACCTAGCGCCCCGTGATTTCAGACTTGGCATCGCTGTGATTAAATATTCCATTGACTTTTAATGTAAACGGAGCAATTACCAGCATCATAAGCAGAATCAAAGGCCACCAATTTGCACAGTGGCCCTGCGAGGAGAAATCTGCCTCTTTGGCTTTTGGGGACAAAGGAGCTCAGCTGCCGATATCGGCCGAGGCCGCGGGGAGCTGGTGAGGGCTCCAGTCAGGAACCGGGTCTCTGCAATTGATCTCTGCAAAGTCCTGGTAGTTGGAGCTGGCAGAGAGGTGATTGTTGTGGTGTTCCTCTCGTGCAATCACGGTCCTGCTTGCGGGCGCAAAAGCTAGAGTGTCTTGCTCCTGTTCTAATTCAAGTGAACTGATTGCCAATTAACTTTAGCAAACTAATCTCTGGACTACTCCGCTAAAGCGTATTACAGGACACGTGTGGGTCCGTTACGGGGATGGTTGGATAATTGCTGAGGCTGGGCGTATTGTTCGCAGTGAGCAACACGCCTGGGAATTGGGTGCCGAGTGCTCGCCGCTCCCATGAAATCCACCCGCTGGGCACCTCTGCAAACTGGGCCCCAGGCTGTCCTATTCCTGCTGGTTGGGATGCTCACATGCCTTCGTGTCGCGTTGATGCGACTGGTCAGTTGGGTCACATGGTATCACTTTTTTTCTTCGATTGGATGAGCGAGCGTACAGGGGGTCATCAATTATTTTTTGGTCAAGGTCCACATTTCTTGGTCACGGTTCAGACTCCAGAGAAAATAACACAAAAATAATAACAAGAATGGTGGTAATAAGTAAATAAGAAGATTTCGGTGCCTGTTTGAAAGCGCCTGGCAGTCTGGCTTTGGCCCGCGGCCCGCCTATTGCCTACCCCAGGCAGGTGGGGTGAGAGAGAGGACGGGAGTCAGAGACCCTCCAGTCTCCTTTCAGGCGGAGAGTTCAGCTCTGCCTCCAGAACGCCACGTGCTGACCCAAACCGAAACTTTCCCCCACCCTATTGCGGCCAACAAAGGCTGCCCCCGATTCTCCTTGGCGATGTCCAGAGTGGCTTTGCGTGACGGTAGCTCCCCCACCCCCTGGCACACAGCACGCTCTGGCTCCAAACCTCCCTCGTTCTGGTTGGCTTCCAACAAACGAACTGACCCCCTCCCAATGAGCCAGGATCCCCCTGGTGCCGTGCCACGCCCGTTGTGCTCCCCAGCTAACAGGGCCGGACGCCAAGCACGTTCCCCCTGCCTCCCATCCAGCCCGTCGCCCCCACTCCCAGTGCACTGCTGAGCCTTTCCCCGCTACCCTGGCTCGGAGCTAATTAATGCTCCGCTTCCTTGCCAGACGCTATT